GAAATGATTATTGGGAGTTACCATTATGAAATGGTTAGTGGGAGTTCAAAGATGATTTACAGAGAAAAGGGCTCCTCAACACCCTGCTCACACATCAGGCCTGGATTTCTGCATTAAACTCATTTCCCGTGATTGCTGCTGCTGAAGAAGGCTCACTGCCACCCCTGGGAAGGTTCCTGATGTTCTCCCCAAAATGAGGCAAAATTCCCCTTTGCAACTGGCAATCCACACATTGAAAGTTATGGAAAATCTGACAGGATGAAAAGCACCTGAAAGGCAGGGAGTTAACACAGGTCCAGAAATAATCTGATGAAATGGTTACTGGGAGAGTTAACCATTATGAAATTATTATTGGGAGTTACCATTATGAAATGGTTAGTAGGAGTTCAAAGATGATTGTGCTGATTTACCAAGAAAAAGGCTCTTCAACACCCTGCTCACACATCAGGCCTGGATTTTTGCATTAAACTCCATTCCCATGATTGCTGCTGCTCACCTGCCACCCCTGGGAAGGTTTTCCTTATGTTCTCCCCAAAATAAGGCAAAATTCCCCTTTCTCTTTATAAGAAATGTTTGACTCTTTCAGCAGCTGAGTCTCCCCTGTGGCACCCACGAGGTCTCCAAGAACAGACACATCATTGTGAGCCCAGATAGGGCTGATTTCTTATCAGCCTTGTGATGTCTGGGCATTCTCCAGAAGCTCAAGAGCTGCTCAGAGTTCCCCATAAAGGCCCTTTAGAGCCTCACAATCCACGTCAGATCCTCCCAACTCCTCCTGCACAGGCTTTCCCTGCATTTCCCCTAAAGGAAAACTCTGCCCTCTCCTCTTTACCTGCCTCCCCAGGGGCATTTTGGGGTTGTTTTTGAGGCTCTGAGCTCCTGCCAGGCTGAGGGCTGCCTGGCAAATTTGTGTGCTGAATTTATGTGCAAAAATTTGTTGGCAGAGCTGCAGGATCAGGGCTCCTGTCCCACTCCCTGCAATCCTCAGTGCAGACTTTGCTCCCCCAAACACAGGTGGGAAGGGCTGGGCTCCATTCATCTGCCCACACTGGCTGGGACAGCAAATATTCCTGATATCCTAATATTTAGGAACACCTAAAAGAGACAATTGGTGTCTTTTCACTGCTCGGTTAAAGGAAGAAGAAAAAGATTCAAGCAATCCTCAGTGCAGACTTTGCTCTCCCAAACACAGGGGGGAAAGTGTGGGCTTTATTCATCTGTGGGCTCTATTCATCTGCCCACATTCACAGGGACAGCAAATATTCCTGATATCCTAATATTTAGGAATACCTAAAAGAGTCAATTGGTGTCTTTTCACTGCTCAGTTAAAGGAAGAAGAAAAATATTCAGGCATGTGAGAGATAAAATAAAGGAATTCAGAGCAAGGCAGACCTTGGGATGTAAATGGCCAAGTGAAAACCTCATGGGTTTAAATGTCACCTCTTCCCTGCTGTCAGCTGAGTTTTCTCTAACTTTTCTAGTTCATCTTATTCATTCTCTTTTCCAGAGCATCCTCTGGATTCTCCAGGTGCTGAGTTTAGAAGCAAACCTTGCTGTGGAGCAGCAGAAATGCTGCAGGATATTGAGACACAAACCCTAATTTGGGAACAGGGAGTAGAAGGGTTCACAGCCCAAGTGAGGCAGAATGAGGCAGGAAAACCATGGCAGATCTGCCAGGCTCACAATGTCAGGCTCAGTGACACCAAAATGGGGCCCTTTGCCCAAAACTCAGAGAAAATAAGGAGAGAAGGAGAGAGATTTTATCCCTAGCAGCAAAATATCTCCAGTTTGTCTCTCATTTCAATGGCACCTGCTGGGTGACAAGTGTCATCTCCCAGGTGTGGAGTTACTGACACCCCCCAGACAGAGCAGCTCCTCCCTGGGGTCCTCAGAGAAGCCAAACACAAATTTCCACCTCTCAGAGCCCCTCAGGGGTACAGGGTAAGGCTCACCTCTGTTTCAGCAAACAAAACCACAAAGGAAAATCAGCTTTAAGGCCTCAGGTCTATTTTATGAATTGTTTTAAAATAATAAACAAATTAACAATAATTCACCATGCAGACACTACAATGGTTAAACAACAACTGACCAACAGATTTTTGTCCCCCTAAAAACCACAATATTTCCAAACCAAAGTCTCCATGTACACAATTCCTCACTAAAGGCATGAGAATCACCTCAGGGACTTTTCCTTTCCCCTGAGCTTCTGCTCTTCCAACACGAGGACAAGAACACAAAGCAACCCCCAAAATTCTGAGTGCATTTATTCCCAAACAATAAATATTCTCAATCCCACAGAGCACCTGCACCAGTTTTTATGTGTCCTCTGCAAAGCCAAGCAGAGAAAGCACAACCAGAGAGAGGGGCAGCTCTGCCAGACCAACCCATGAGATCATTTCAGCCCTTTCCTCCCACTTCTCCACGGGGCAGGGATGGCAATCCCATAACAACCACTGCTGGGATCCACAGAACACACAAGGCAGGAGAAGTTGGTGGCATTTAAGGAAAAAAACACCAAAAAAATAGAGAAAAAGGAATCCAGGAGAGGGGAAAGGGAAGGTTCCAACTGGCAAAGAGGAATGCAGTGCTCCAGAGACAAAAAGACCAGTTAAAAGCAGCAAAAAAATGAAGAAAACTGGTGGTGCCCTGCAGATCTTTGAGGCTGATTTGCTCTTTTTGGGATTGTTTTTTGGGATGGGTTTGCACAGTGCCTGGCACACAGAACAGTGTGGAGGGGTTTGTGTAAAATGAGAGTGGGGCAAAGGAAATGAGAGGTTTCATGAAGAGGGAGATTCCACTGGTTCATTGCTAGAGCTGCCCTCAGAAGGGAGAGGAATGGAGGAACCAAAATGGTCCAAATGGCAGAAAAATCCTGCCTGGAAGGAGCTGCCAAACTCTATCAAGGAGATGCATTAGCGAATTTTTAATGGAAATAATACTGCCAAGTAGGACTGAATGACTCCCTGCACTCTGTGCCTCATCCATATTTTCACACTGCTGCTTTTATCTGGCCAGAATATCTCTGCTAACTAGAAAATGGGTTTGTTTTGTTTTGTTTACAAAGGAAAATAATGGGGTGGGGTGGGGAAAACCACAAAAAAACGCAGCCAGTGCTTACTCTCCGGATGTACTGTCTCTCATGCTGAAAATATATGGAGGAAAAACAAGAGAACAGAAAGATAAGATAGAGAGGACATGAAAACACAAGAGACCCACAGAAGCAGAGCACAGCAAAGCATCATGCAGCAGGGAATGGAGCTCAGCAGCTACAGGCAGAAGCAGTGAGAGCCAAAGTCACCTCCAGCCTGGTGACAGAGCCAGGGTTTGGCAGCAACCAGCTCAGACTGAGGCATCTGCTCACAGCCCTTATCTGCCACTTCTCCACCAGTTTGGCCCATCTAGGTTTGTATTTTATTCATAAATAAAATCTTCTTATTCTTTTCTTCGCTGCCTCTGTCCCTCTCTGCCTCTGGGATCTCCTACTGCAATGCTGCTCACACCCAGCAGGATCCTGACTCTGCCTCTACACCTTGCCCAAATCCCACATTCTGCTGCCCCCATCCTGCTCTGGAGGCTGCAGGAGGGCAGGAACTGTGGCTGGCCATGGGTGGCTGCTGCATTTGCCTATGGCTACTGCAGAGGGTACTTCTCCACCAGTTTGGCCCAGCTTGCTTGGTTTGTATTTCATTCTTAAAATAAAATCTTCTTACTCTTTTATTCACTGCCTCTGTCCCTCTCTCACATTTGTCTATGGCTACTTCAGAGGGTACTTCTCCACAACTTGGCCCACCTTGGTTTGTATTTTATTCTTAAAATAAAATCTTCTTATTCTTTTCTTCACTGCCTCTTTCCCTCTGTGTCTCTGGGGTCCCTTCCTGCGATGCTGCTCACACCCAGCAGGATCCTGACTCTGCCTCTCCACCTTGCCCAAATTCAGCCCAAATCCCACATTCTGCTAACCCCCATCCTGCTCTGGAGGCTGCAGGAGGGCAGGAACTGTGGCTGGCCATGGGTGGCTGCTGCATTTGCCTATGGCTACTGCAGAGGGTGGGGGCCCCACCGTGCAAAGGTGACACTGGCTTTGTGCCCCTCGTGCTGGCAGAAGGAAAAAACACCAAGGCAGAAGCAAAGGGTGGTTGGTGTTTCTCTGGGGTTAGTAGAAAATAAATCCTCTGTGGCCTCCAGACCACCCTGAGAGATGCAAAGGGTTTGCAGGGTGGCAGCTGTGGTGGTGTTCACAGGGGTCTGAGGATGAGGGAAGAGACGAGGATCTGACTCCATGTTTCAGAAGGCTTGATTTATTATTTTATGATATGTATTATATTGAAACTATACTTGAAGAATAGAAGAAAGGATTTCATCAGAAGGCTGGCTAAGAATAGAAAAATAATGGAATGATAACAAAGGCTTGTGGCTTGGACAGAGAGTCTGAGCAAGCCGGACTGTGATTGACCATTAATCAGAAACAACCACATGAGACCAATCACAGATGCACCTGTTGCATTCCACAGCAGCAGATAACCATTGGTTACATTTTGTTCCTGAGGCCTCTCAGCTTCTCAGGAGGAAAAAACCTAAGGAAAAGATTTTTTCATAAAATGTGTTTGTGACAGCAGCTCTGTTTGTCACCGCGTGTCACCACACCCCACGCTGAGGCACTAGAGCTGCAGGATGTGGGGAGCATCACCAGAGTGACCAAAAGGACAAAGCTTCTGCCCTCTAGGATGTGGGGAGCATCACCAGAGTGACCAAAAGGACAAAGCTTCTGCCCTCTAGGATGTGGCGAGCATCACCAGAGTGACCAAAAGGACAAAGCTTCTGCTCTCTGTCTCTGGCATCCCTTCCCTGAGGATGCCAGCCCTCCTTTGCCAGTGCTGAGCCATTTCCAGCTCCTCCTCCTGGAAATGGTCAGGGTGCCCCAGTGCCACTGCAAAGCCCCTTTGCACCTTCCCCCCTCCCACCCAGAGCCACCCAGGGACAAGAGAAACGGGAGTACTTACATTATACCAACTCTGGCTTTTCTGTAAGGACAAAATAAAAGAGAAGCATTAGTTAGCACAGAGATCTTAGGATCAAAAAGAAAGAGGGACAGAGAAAGCAGGTCCAATCTGGTTTGGATCATTAGTGAAGTGAAAGTGGGATTAAACAGAAGATTTCAATGGGTTTCACAGTGTGGTGTGACACAGTTATCCCCAGTTACAGGAGCAAGGGACAAGTCCAGCAGCAGGAGTCTGGAACAGGAGACAGTTCAGGCCAAGGTGTGCATGTCCACATGCACACACACACAGACATGCTGTCACCTTGTCTGCAACCAGCAGTGCCAGCCAGCAACAGAGGAGCTCACCATCATCATCATCACATCATCATCACCATCATCACCACATCATCACCATCATAATCATCATCATCACCATCACCACATCATCATCATCATCATCATTATCACATCATCACCATCATCATCACTGCCAGCCATCTCTTTAGGGTTTTCATTCTTCCACTTTCATTCTTCTGCTGATCAAACTCACATTGAGCCCTCCAAGCACTGCTAAGGGCAAGGACACAGCTTTGCCCACGAAAGGCAAATGTCCCAAGGGTATTTTGAATTTTAAAAGGGACACACACACACACACACACAGAGCCAGGAAAAGTGCTGTAGAAAATCGCTAGAGAAGCTAGGCAAGGAAAAAAAAAAGATAGGATATTTTTTTTTTCAGCATTTCAGCCACAGTGTTTTGCATCATCTGCACATGGGATTTTTTTGGTTTTTTTTTTTCCCCCATCCTTATCATGGCATTTCAGATGGTTGGAAAGGACAGGCCACACGTCACATTGGAGCACACAGAAGAGCTGGCTCAGCTTGGAAAGCCACGCTTGGCAATTTCCAGCTGGAGGTGAGATTTATCTGCACAGGGAGAGGAAGGAAAGAGCTTCCCACTGCAGCCAGGCTGGCTTTCCAAGGGCAGGGCACTGAGCTCCTTCAGGACACAGGAATCCCCTTTTCTGGGGGGATTTCCCTCATGGCAGTGAAGCCTGGGGGCACCACAGCCTTCTCCATGAGGGTGGGCAGCTCCAGCTGCGCTGTCCCCTCTCCCAAACCCTTCGGTGCATAACACACAAGGACAGCAGCAATATTTCACTGCCTTCCCTCCTCTGAAGCCATCTTGCTGCTGACCTTGGGGAATTTTCCAGGCTGGAATAGGAAGGGAAACGTTCTGTGCTGTGCCTGGCCCGGGAGGCTGCAGGAATCTCACTGAGAATTCCCTGGAATATTCATTCACAGGGACACAGGCACTGCCTGCCCACCAAGGACACACAGCGTGCTCTGCCACAGGGAAGGAGGAGAAGTGTTGATGAAATCAGAGTGGAACAGATTTCTGTGAAGGAACAGGAGCTGCTCTGTTCCCACCCTGGATCTGCCTGCTCCAAGCTCCCTGTGTGCCACAGAACCTCACTGCATCCCATTTCTGAAGCATCCATTGCAGAGCTCTCTCATGAAAAGCCCCACAGTAACACAGCACACAGGCTAAAATACAAAAATCTGACATTAAAAAAAGGAACACCCCCCTTTTTTCCCCCCAAAATCCTGGGGAAATGAGATGAGATGAGGGACTGAACACAGAGCATGGCTCAAATCCCACACTCATTCCTCCAAGCAGGGGAATTTCCTCCTGCTTCCCACTCTTCTCCATACTTGGCCACACCTGATCCATTCATAAAGGACTGGGTTGAAGTCATCCCTCTCTGCAAGTAGGACATGGAAAAAAAACCTTATGCAACCCAGTCTGGGCTAAAAAAAGCAGCAGGGTAATTAATCTGAGCCATGCACACAGCACCTTGTCCTCAGGAGCACAGCCCCTGAGGTGGAGTTGATTTTCCTGCAGATTTGTTTTGCCATCTGTCTGCCTTAACGAGCAAAAGGCGTAACTCAGAAATTCCTGGGGGAAAAAAAAACCTCATAATCAAACTATAATTGGCACACACAGAGCAGAGGCACTGCTGCCACTCTGCCTGCTAAATCAGGGTGCCCATGCTGAGGTGTCAGCACAGCCCAACAGGATTTCAGTCCTCTCTGCTGCATTCATTGCAGGAACTATTTTATTTTTTTTTTCCCTCCTCAAATTTGAATTCCATTTTCCTTGAATCAAGGGTTTCTATAAAGGAGCTCTGCAGGTTCTTCTTTAAGCTTTTCCACACACAAAAAAAAAGAAATATACTGAGATCCATAATTATGGATTATGGATGATTGCTGATTATACTGATACTCCATTATACTGATGTCCATAATTTTACCAACATCCTTAAATATATCAACACTCAAACCTCAGCTTTTCCTCCACCAAGATTTGTCCAAAATCCAAACAACCTCAGCCCTTAAATCTCTCCTTAAATCTCTCTTCTAATTTATCTTTTTTTTAAAAACTCACTGAGAGGGAGATGCAAACTGTGAAAATCAACAGACAGTAAAATGGAGAGGGGGAGAGGAAAAAAGAAAGAAAAAGGAAAAACATATTCTTACTTTGAGCAGGTTAAGTCTGTCATACTGGAAAAAGAAACCATAAGCATTAGAACTGAAAAGAGAAAATAAATCAGTAACAGGAGGAGGGGGCTGCACACGGAACAGACAGGGAGAAGATGGGACAGGTTTGCAGAGATGATGCTACAGGAGCACAGAGCAGAGCTCATGGTTACAAGGGGGCTGTAACCAGGAAGAGCTTGGGAGGAATGTGAAAAATGGAATATTTTCTCTAAGCCTTTAATTACTGCCGCGAAATAGTCACGATTCAGTGACCTGACACCTGCATGCAGTGCTAGGGAAGGTCACAGCTCTGCAGGGCACACACCAAACTGCACCCTGACCACCCCAAACAGAGCTTCTGCCTCTCAGCAGCACTGACACTCCAGTGGAGCACTCCAGGGCTTAAAAACTCCTGGTGGTGCACTCCCTCTGACAATCCCAGTGCTTAAAATCTCCGGTAGAGCACTCTCTCTGATAATTCCAGTGCTCAAAACTCCTGGTGGAGCGCTCCTTGTGACAATTTCAGTGTTTAAAACTCTTAGTGGAGCGCTGCCTCTCACTATTCCAGTGCTTAAAATCTCCTGCTGGAGCACTCCCTCTGACTATTCCAATGCTCAAAACTCCTGGTGGAGAACTGCCTGTGACAATTCCAGTGTTTAAAACTCTTGCAGGAGCATCTCCTCTGCCAATTCCAGCATTTAAAATCCCTGATGGAGCATCTCTTCTGACAATTCCAGTGTTTAAAACTCCTGGTGGATCACCCTCTGTGACAATTCTAGTGCTTAAATCTCCTGGTGGAGCACTCCCTCTGCCAATTCCAGTGCTCAAAAACTCCTGCTGGAGGACTCTCTGTGACAATTCCAGTACTTACATCTCCTGGTGGAGCACTCCCTGTGACAATTCCAGCATTTAAAGCTCCTGCTGGAGCACTCCAGTGTTTAAAACTCCTGGTGGAGCACTCCCTCTACCAATTCCAGTGCTCAGAAACTCCTGATAGATCATTCCCTGTGACAATTCCAGTGTTTAAAACCCCTGCAGGAGCACTCCCTGGGACAATTCCAGTGCTTAAAACTGGTGGAAAACTGCAGTGCTCGAATCCCCCTGCTGGAGAACTCCCTGTGACAATTCCTGTGCTCAAAACTCCTGCTGGAGCACCTCCTCTGCCAATTCTAGTGTTTTGAACTCCTGGTGGAGCATTCCCTGTGACAAATCCAGTGTTTAAAACCCCTGCTGGAGCACTTCCTCTGACTATTCCATCATTTAAATCTCCTGGTGGAGCACTCCCTGTGACAAATCCAGTGTTTAAAACCCTTGATGGAGCACTGCCTTTCACTATTCCAACATTTAAATCTCCTGCTGGAGAATTCCCTGTGACAATTCCAGTGCTCAAAACTCCTGCTGGAGCACTGCAGTGCTTAAAATCCCTGCTGGAGAACTCCCTGTAACTATTCCAATGCTCAAAAACTCCTGCTGGTGCACTCCCTGTGACAATTGCAGTGTTTAAAACCCCTGATGGAGCAACTCCTCTGCAAATTCCAGTGTTTAAAACTCCTGGTGGAGCACTCTCTGTGACAATTCCAGTGCTCAAAACCCTTGGTGGAGCACTCCTTGTGATAATTCCAGTGTTTAAAACTCCTGGTGAGTCACTCTGTGACAATTCTAGTGCTTAAAACTCCTGATGGAGCATCTCCTCTACAAATTCCAGTGTTTAAAACTCCTGGTGGAGCACTGCAGTATTTAAATCTCCTGGTGGAACACTCCCTGTGACAATTCCAGCGTTTAAAACCCCTGCTGGAGCACTTCCTCTGACTATTCCATCATTTAAATCTCCTGGTGGAGCACTCCCTGTGACAATTCCAGCGTTTAAAACCCCTGCTGGAGCACTTCCTCTGACTATTCCATCATTTAAATCTCCTGCTGGAGCACTCCCTGTGACAAATCCAGTGTTTAAAACCCTTGATGGAGCACTGCCTTTCACTATTCCAACATTTAAATCTCCTGCTGGAGCACTCCCTGTGACAATTCCAGCATTTGAATCTCCTGCTGGAGCACTCCCTCTGACGGCAGCGCTGCAGCACGACAGAACAGCACACACAAAAGAGGGCAGGGAGCTCAAGCAGCGATTGTACCAACACAGCAGCAAACTCATGGGCTCAAGCTGTTCCACCTCATTAGGCAGACAGGCTGGGAAAGCAAACCATCCTTCCTGCAGGAGATGGGTGGGGAGAGGAGAAGAGGCTGAGAAAGGAGAGTTTGGAATCTTTGCCCTCTGGTTTTTTTGTCCCTAACCTCTCCCTGTGTGAGCAGACAACAGAATTGTCTGTGTGGGGGGGAGCAGGGGGTTAATGCCTGAAAATTCTGTGTGGGGAGGAGCAGGGGGTTAATGCCTGAAAATTCTGTGTGGGGGGGAGCAGGGGGTTAATGCCTGAAAATTCTGTGTGGGGGGGAGCAGGGGGTTAATGCCTGAAAATTCTTCATTTGTGCCAGAGGAAGCACAGAACAGGCTGCACACTCGATGATGCTCGTGGTTCCAACTCTGAATATTCTGTGTGAGCAGGGCAGGAGGCTCTGGTGGGCTGCTGGGGGTCCTGCCTGGGATCCCCTTCCCCTCTGAACTCATCTGGGCTCCACTTCCCTCACTTTCTCCATCTGCCTCACACTGGTTGGGTTTTTCCCTCTCAGAGAAGCAGGGGCAGGCTGCTGGCACCTCAGAGCACACATATTTTATAAACAACTCTCTGTTCCAGGCTTCTTCCCACCAACCCCCTGTCCTCAAACCTCTGCACCTGCAGCTCAGCGCAGCCTGTCCTGCCCACACTCACCTGAAACCCTGCCAGGACTCTGCTAGTCCACGCCTTGCACACCTCACCTTGAGATTTTAGTCCCCCAGTGCTCCCCTGCACTTATCCCAGCTACAGAGACCCAGCACAAGACAATCTGTCTAAAATAAAACACACCAAGAAGCTCCCAGCAGACAGCAGCAAGTCATGCAAGGTCAGGCCGGTCACAAGGACCATGACCAAGGGATGACAGTGAGCCAGCACTTCTCTCTGAGAACTTGCCTAGAAGGGAACCTGAGGCATCCACTGGGGAAAGGCCAAGACAAGGGTTCTGTGGATTTTTGTGAAGCCATTCTGTGGATTTTTGTGAAGCCATCCAAGCCATTCTGCTGCCACAAAGTGGAAATGCCAACAGCCTGGCACTTTCTCCAACAACACCCCACCTGTGTTTCTGATTTTTCCACTCTTCTGAGGGCAGCACAGAGGTGTGAGATCAAATCCCAAACGATCTTATCTCCAATTCAAGCACCCACAGGGGGATCTTCCACTTCTCACCTCTCAGAGCGAGCCCATGAATTCTCACAATTCATTTGGGACAGGTTCTGCTCTACCGGGTTCAAGCTGGGTTCACCTGAAATCACTGATCTTTAATATTTACATCACACAGCAGAGCTTGCCAGGGCAGTAAGCTGAGATCACTGGCCACAAAAATGCAATTTATCATGGAAAGCAGGGAAGAAGTCATGGAGAACAAGTCTTGTTTCTGAAATCGTGGAACAACTCTGGTTTCTGAAATAATGGAACAACTCTGGTTTCTGAAATCACGGAAGGAGAAGGAAAGAGAAGGGATGGTGGCTCTGTTCAGCTCCAGAGGATTTCTCCCTGGCAAAGACAGCAGCTCACTTCAAGGGAGAGGGGAAAGCAGAACTGAAAGGTTGAAATGGTTTGGGATGTGATAGTGTTCATCACAGGGGTGTGATGAGGAGGCCAGTTCTCAGTCTGTGTGAGCAAACACAGAGATGCCAGTGATGCCAGTGAACCCAGCTTCCAGCTACAGGCACGGGGCTGAGCTCTTGCTGGCATTCTCCCAGGCACAGCAGGAGAATGCCTGGCTGGGGTCAGCACTCAGCACCACAGGGAGGGCTCCTGAGTGGTGAGACAGCTCTACAGTGGGGGACAGGAGAGAAAAAAGAAGGCTTACTTTGGAGAGGCGCTTGTGTGACTTAATCGGAGAGAAAGCATGCAGGAATGAAAAGAGAGAAATTAGGGAGAGAAGAAAAAATTACCTGGCAGATCAAGAGAAGGAAAACCCACACACCCAACAGAGAGCACTGCACCCTCTTGGAAAACACCAGGAATGAATGAAAGTTCAGCTTTAGCAGTCACTGTGTTGGTAACATTCTCACTCCCATGATTTTAATTTTGAGGGCCAGGGTGACACAACTCCTCTCTGTGGTTCCCTGTCACTAAGATTTTCTAAGCTTTTTAACGTTGACATTCCTGTAGTGAACTTTCTCACACACTTTCTGTAAATAATTCATGGTTTTGCATTCTTTTATAGAAGAAGAGAAAGTTGATGGACTGGTAGTTTGACCAGTGTCATTGGAGAGGTGGCACTGTCACACACCAATCCACTGTCACTCTTAGAAGACGATAAATGTTAGAGTTAGAAAACAAACTTCTTTTTTCCTTCATCTTGAGAACAGCAGTGTGAGCTTGTGTTTTTTCATATCCTATACCAACAGTTTCCCTTCCCAAGGATCCCATTTCCCTGTGGGCACCCCCAGGGTGGCTCCAGCGTGCCCTGCATCCTCCTGCCTCCCACCCATGGCTTCCTTTGGGAACTCAGTGCTGGCAACCCCGTGCTGAGGGTGTCACCAGCACTGGGACGGGGTTTGTAGGTCACTGCGTGCACAGGAAGCCAGGCTGACCTCAAGGGCAACCTCAGAACGCCACTGATTCAGCTTGAAAAACCCTTTTCCCCCCTCTTTTGAACTCACAGACTGCCCCAGAGTGGTGAGAGATCAGAATGTGGGCCACTGAGTGCTGTTCCCTCTGCTGAGTGGCCATGAAGGGGAGGGGATGAGGATTTCTTGTCTGTGACACAATCCAGCAATAAATCAGGCAAAGATCAAACAATTCATTTTGTACAAGCCATCAGAGTTCTGCCTGGGAAATTATTCAGGCTGAAACATCACCCTTCAAAAATCTGGGCAAACACAAGTGCTCCTGACAGCTGACACATCACTGATCTTGGGTTATAATCAAAGGTTTATTTGGCACCCCAGGCTCTCGTGTGTGTTTTACCAGGTCCCAGTCCTCACACAAAACCTAGAGCCAAACCTGAAACTCTCTTTCCCTACACAGCAAAGACAAAGCTGTTTCTAACACCATCCAAAGACACAAAACCTTCCTGGGGAAAATATCAGCAACCCTGGGCAAGCCAGCCATAACACTGAGCCATGGGAGGGATGGGCAGAGGGTGGGAAAAGTGATTCTGTGCAATTTGAACTGATCTCAGAGGGCTTGGATAGGGCTGGGGAAATGCACAGGCCCTTCACAGGGGAAACCTTGTTTATTTAATGATAAAAAGCAATTGCAACAGCTGATTTACAAGGTGTGCTGAAAAACCCTGGTGGAGGGGTTTTCCCACAGAGCCTCCCAAGGAACAGGACCACGAGAGAAAGGACCTAGAGAAAGAAAACAGGACCTAGAGAAAACAGGACCCAGAGAAAACAGGACCTAGAGAAAGGACTTTTCCTAGAGAGGAAGGACCTACAGAACAGACTTAGAGAAAACAGGACTTAGAGAGAAAGGACCTGGAGAAAGGACCTTTCCTGGAGAGAAAGGACTTAGAGAAAACAAGACCTAGAGAAAACAGGACCTAGAGAAAGGATCTTTTCTCAAGAGAAAGGACCTAGAGAAAGGACCTTTCGTCAAGAGAAAGGACCTAGAGAAAACAGGACCTAGAGAAAAGACCATTCCTAGAGAAAGGGCTGAGAGAAAGGACCTTTCCTGGCGAGAAAGGACCCTTTCTTGAGAGACAGGACCTAGAGAAAGGAGCTAGAGAAAACAGGACCCAGAGAAAACAGGACCTAGAGAAAGGACTTTTCCTGGAGAGAAAGGACCTAGAGAAAGGACTTAGAGAAAACAGGACTTAGAGAGAAAGGACCTGGAGAAAGGACCTAGAGAAAACAGGACCTAGAGAAAAGACCATTCCTAGAGAAAGGGCCTAGAGAAAGCACCTTTCCTTTCTCAGCTTGAGAGAAAGGACCTAGAGAAAGGACCTTTCCTTGAGAGAAAGGACCTAGAGCAAACAGGACCTAGAGAAAGCTGTACCCTCAGAGCTGTGCTCAGCCTGACCCAGCTGAAGGACTCTGAGTTAGCAGAACCCTCAGAAACCCCACGTGTGAAGAGAGAGGGAACCAGCCAGAGGAGAAGGCGGCAGAGGACAAAGCCAGCGCGGCTGATCCCGGCACCGCGTCCCCGCGCTCGCCCTCACCTTGGAGTTCTTGGCCCCGCTGCGGCCTGACTGTGAGGAGCAGCTCCTCTGGACGCCCTGCTCCGGCGTGGACGGCGACTTGTCCGAGGAGTGGTCGGAGCCCTTCTCCACCATGGCGTCCCCCTGGGCGTCCTGCGGCGTGGGCGAGCGCGAGCGTTTGCGCAGGATCGGGGAGCAGGCGGGCGTGCTGCGGTTGGAGTTACTGGCGGTGCTGCGGGGAACAGGGAGGGCACAGGGCACGGTTAGAGCATGGCCACGCTGAAACAGCCCTGGCTGGGCAGCAGCCACAGCGCAGAGCTGCTTCCTGAGCTGTCAGAGCAGCGCTCCCCGCGCCCCCCGTGGGTTTAGGCACTTCTCCTTTAGCACAGGAACTGCTGGCAGTGCCTTTCTCCAACCACCCTCCAACCCCTCAGACCACAGAGCAGTGCCCACCAGAAGGAACTCGTGGGCTCCTGGAGTTTCAAGTTGTCTGTACTGAGCACACGCTGACACCTCTCTCTTAGCAAAATAAAATGTGCACTGAAGAACGAGAAGTGTCAGCGTGTGCTCAATACAGCCTCTCTCTGCCCCTCCTTTGTTAGCGCAGCTCTTCTCAACAGGATGCACGAAAATGGGGTCACACCTTTCAAAAAACACCCCATCAAAGAGCATCACAAACCCCTGGGCTCTGGGAGGGGAGTTGTGATGACATTCAATGCAGCATTTCCTGTACAGAGCCATCCCTTCCCACACCAGTTAGAGCTGGGCATGGAAATTGTTTGCTGTGACCCAAAAGCCTTTGTGATTAAAAAAAATATTAAAAATTAAGTTCCTTTTTCACAATGGGAAAAGCAAGGCCTTTCAGAGTTTCACAGAAATTATGAGGGGAATGGAACTTCTCATTCTCTTTCCTCAGCCAATGTCCCAGTAATGCACAAACTAACACAGAACAGGAAAACTCAGATTTCCTCACTGCTCCTTCTCTTTTGATGCCTCTCCTTCCTGCCAGACTCTTCAGAATCCCACACACTACCCCCATTTTTCCCTCTGTCACTCATTTCCTTCAGGAGCCAAATCTATTTCTGACCAGCCCAGACATCCTCGAGGCTTTTCCAGCTGTGCTGCCCCAGCCAGCAGGTCACAGAGGAGCCTGGTGCAAGGACTGGAGCTGTGCTGACTTCTTCAGGAGCCTGTTTTCTCATGAGCAACACCAAACACCTGACAGCACAGGCAGCAGGGAAAGGATGGAGGAATTACAGCTGCGAGGGACTGAATTAAAGAAGTTGTTAGACCCTTAAGGGCTATGATTAAAGCCAAATTGCACACAGCAATCACAATAATGCACAGCAATGTGCTCCAAAAGGATCATTTCCTCCCTGAAAACCTAGAGGAGCTGAACACATGCCTGAGGTTTCATTAATTGCCAGATAAAAACCATATCCATCTCTCCTTACCTCTCAAGATGCCAAAACCATTTCACCAGCATTAGTTAGACACAAACAGCCAGTGTAACACACTCCCCAGGTTTGGCTTGGTTTGGTTTTGGATGAACTGCTCTTGTAAATTCTCCTTTATTTGCTCATTGCTTGTGTCAATGCACAAGTGATGAAATTTTCCCTGAGCAGCCTGCAGGAAGCACCCAGCCAAGCTGCTTATGCAAACAGGGCCAGAATCAGATTTCCTGGGAGCTGGCACGGGGCAGGAACAGCAGCGTGGAGCGTCCCAGGAGCCCCTGGGAAGATGTTTTCACCCCTACAAAATGTGGAATTTCATTTCAGGCTTGAAATGAAAAATGGGTGTGCAAAATGTTCTGTAGGCAGGAAGGTGGATTAAGTTAAACTCTGCTCTGTTACCTATTTCTACTCAGTAGAATGAGAAATACAGATATAGAGCAATAAAAAGCTGTTCAAATATCAGCCAAACCCCAAGGCAGCTCCAGTTCAAAAAAATCCTCTTTAGCTTGGGGCTCTTCACCAGGAGCAACTGAACATCCCCAAGGGAAATATTGTCACATCCTCTTGTCCTGTGCCCTCCCTTTCCCTGGACAAGGCACAGGAATAATGAATGCTAAACCAGTGTAGCAATAACTGCAGCAATATTCAAGATTTAACCCCCCCCAAATAATAATTGAAGCAAAAGAAAAATCAAAAAAATGATCTGGACCATTCTCCCAGCAGCTCTGCCTGCCAGTTTAGGTATAACATGAAGTAAAATTATTAGAGATTTCTTAGTTTATTGAAGTATTAAAAAGCATCAAGTTCCTTGACAGATTTTCTCCCAGCAGCTCTGCCTGCCACAACTCAGGTATAACATGAAGTAAAATTATCAGGGATTTCTTAGTTTATTGAAAAGCATCAGGTTCCTTCATAGATTTTCAGCTGATCAAGTCAAAATGATGTTTTTCACCTGGTCTGCGCTCCTGCTAAACTCAATTTTAGCAGCCCAGCAGAGCTAGATTGGTGGCTCCAAGTTCATCAGCAGCAGTCCCAGGGATGGAATTGGTTCTGAACTGATGGAACTGGTTCTGAATTGCCATTTTTACACACTGCAGAAAAGGCAGACTTTTAATTAAAACCTCTGAATTCTGAAGCTGTGTTGGTCCTGCCTGTTATTGAGGCAACACTGGTTGTGTGAGAGGTCCCCAAAAACACAAGGCAAGAATTTTAAGCCACTGGCTAAACCTGTGTGAACACATGGGCTATTTTTTCCTCTACAAAACCTGAGTTTACCACACACAACCCCTGTCTCATTTTCACTTCGTGCGAGTTCAGTTTCACTTTGAGCCTGAGTTTAGAGCAGCTCTGTCAAGACCAAAAAAAGCCAAACTCAGTCCAGCCTCTGTTTGCTTTCAGTTTGCACTTGGGAGATTTTGCTGCTGCTCAATGAAAGCTCAGAATGAGCAGCTCAAAACCAGGGTACAGCTGCTACAGCGTGCAGGTGAAACTCAAAAAATGCTGCAAAGTTTGGTGCTATTTTAGTCTTTTTTTGGTCTTGCAATGCTCCTCAAGGTGGGTTTTTGGTCACAGCCCAGCCCTGCAGCTGCACAGGAGCAGCACCAGCTCAGATGTTTTAGATCAATCAGATGCATTCAGATCATTGCTTGGAACTGACAATTTTATTTTTGCCCAGCTCACACACTGCCATAGCCACAATTTTTGGTGCCAGCTCTGCCAAACACAACATTGGGCAGATTCTGTCTTTCAAGCTTGTTTTTTGGTTTAAAAAATTAAATCTATCATGTAAGGTGTGTGTGGATTCTCACCTTTACAGAAATAGGGGGGAAAATAACACCAAGGGCTCCTTCTCTGGCTCTCCCTGCAGTCAGTGGCACAAATATCAAACCCAGGACGGCTGAATTTCCCTCTTATTTTCTGGTAACTGGGAAAAGCTGAATATTTCTCACATTAAGGACTCATTTAAAGCCCATTTTTTAGTTTAAAAAATCAAATCCATCCACAAATATCGTGTTAGGTGTGTGTGGATTCTCACTTCTGTAGAAATAGGGGGGAAAAAATAACACCAAGGGCTCCTCCTTTGGCTCTCCCTGCAGTCAGTGGCACAAATATCAAGCCCAGGAGGGCAGAATTTCCTGATAATTCAGGATATTCTGATAAAAAGCTGAATATTTCTCACATGAGGGACTGCACAGACAGAGAAAATGATGAATCTGTTGGCTGATGCCAGCGAGGATGGGCATGGAGAGCACAGGGCTGCCCCTGCCCCGAGCCCCTCTGGGCTCTCCCTGCTCCTGCTCCTTCCCTGCAGTTTGAATTCCCCTCCTATTTTCTGATGAGTGGGAAAAGTTGAATATTTCTCACATGAAGGACTCATTTCAAGCTCGTTTTTTATTTTAAAAAAATTAAATCCATCCACATCTATTGTGCTTGGTGTGTGTGGATTCTCACCTCTGCCAAAATAGGGGGGAAAAATAACACCAAGGGCTCCTCCTTTGGCTCTCCCTGCAGTCAGTGGCACAAATATCAAAGCCAGGAGGGCTGAATTTCCTGATAATTGGGAAAAGCCGAATATTTCTCACATGAGGGACTGCACACAGAAAATGATGAATCTGTTGGCTGATGCCATTGAGGATGGGCACGGAGAGCACAGGGCTGCCCCTGCCCCGAGCCCCTCAGGGCTCTCCCTGCTCCTGCTCCTTCCCTGCAGTTTGAATTCCCCTCCTATTTTCTGATAACTGGGAAAAGCTGAATATTTCTCACATGAAGGACTGCACAAACAGGTAAAATGATGAATCTGTTGGCTGATGCCATTGAGGACGGGCACGGAGAGCACAGGGCTGCCCCTGCCCCGAGCCCCTCAGGGCTCTCCCTGCTCCTGCTCCTTCCCTGCAGTTTGAATTCCCCTCCTATTTTCTGATAACTGGGAAAAGCTGAATATTTCTCACATGAAGGACTGCACAAACAGGTAAAATGATGAATCTGTTGGCTGATGCCATTGAGGACGGGCACGGAGAGCACAGGGCTGCCCCTGCCCCGAGCCCCTCAGGGCTCTCCCTGCTCCTGCTCCTTCCCTGCAGTTTGAATTCCCCTCCTATTTTCTGATAACTGGGAAAAGCTGAATATTTCTCACATGAAGGACTGCACAAACAGGTAAAATGATGAATCTGTTGGCTGATGCCATTGAGGACGGGCACGGAGAGCACAGGGCTGCCCCTGCCCCGAGCCCCTCTGGGCTCTCCCTGCTCCTGCTCCTTCCCTGCAGTTTGAATTCCCCTCCTATTTTCTGATAACTTGGAAAAGCTGAATATTTCTCACATGAAGGACTGCACAAACAGGTAAAATGATGAATCTGTTGGCTGATGCCATTGAGGACGGGCACGGAGAGCACAGGGCTGCCCCTGCCCCGAGCCCCTCTGGGCTCTCCCTGCTCCTGCTCCTTCCCTGCAGTTTGAATCCGGCCCAAGCCCAGCCATGACGAACGCTTTCTGCAGTTGCCATGGCGACCGAGGCCTGCAATTGAACCAGCAATCCACGCCTGAAATGCCAAAACGGCCCTGACCCACTTTGAAATAAAAATAATTGTAATAAATAACGCTTTAGAGACCTAATTGCCCAGAGTGCATTCAGGGCCTCACGTCCCCCTGCAGAGTGGCCTTCAGTGGGTGAGACAGATTAAGTGAGGGACAGAACACAAACAAGCCCACCTAAGCAGCGGCCCCTTTGCTCTGAGGTGAAAACCTCTGCACAGAGCATTGGAAAGCACAGGAGGCTGGGT